TTACGTCTATTGACTTCTGCATTCTTCAAACTGAAGCTGATTTCTTCGCCTTGAAGGTCACTTTAAGGTCATGGTGTGTAGGTCGTTGAACTCCTCTTCACGCCGACTATCACATCGCGTTATAAAAAATACATGTTAATATGCAAAAAAATACAATGACCTTGAAAAAACCGTTAAAATGACCTTCATAGGATTTTTTTATCACCATCGGATACACGCCTTAAAACCATGTATATCCTATTTAGTCATATTTTCTTACTTTCAATAGTAGGGGAAATAATTTAGGTGCTCTAGTTAAAAGTAACACCCTATTATATGTATATCCACAGACGTATCGGCAATAATTGTTATGATCACTCATACTACAATCATAAGTGTTCGTTTTTGCGCGTGATCCTCAAGAACATCGTCTTTAATTCTTACGAAAGAGTATTGTTATTTCGGCGTAACAACGTAAAAAACATTAACTATAAAGTGAGTCTCGGAATCGGAGTTAATATCGATAACGTACGCGGAATCGATTCCAGGTACGTCTACCTTAAAGTTAACGCGCGAACAATCAGACTGAACGTTACCGTTCACAGACCAATGGATCGTGATCGACGAAACGAGCGCGTCTCGCGTTACCAACCGTCTCGGAATCACAGTCCCGTATGACGATAGAAAAATTAATCAAAATGAATATAAAATTACTGTTTGGCTGTAACACCGATATTCTTCTAACGTTTTATTCGACATTTCATAGTTTGTGCTTGTCAGACTTTCTCCAATAATCCGTCAGGCTTTCTTCAGAACCGTGATCTTCATTAACAGGAAAATCCAAGAAAATATCAGCACTGTTATTTAAACAATTCCTATGTCACGGGATTTTATTAATGTAAATTTTTCTTTCCAGTATCATTTAACTGTCAAACAGCTAAACTTTTATTCGAGACTTCCATTCAATCCGGAAAGAAAAATTAGTTTCTCCAAAAATCGCCATTTTGTGGCATTCTCAAGTCTTCGGAAGGAACAATTTCGTAAGAGAAATAAAAGATGTTGAATTATACAATGATTTAAATGACGGTTTAGCGGATTCACTAGCTTAGAAGATCCTGACCGGATCCTTTCCCATTGGCGATCACGATCGATTATACGGGTCGTTCCGAACAACTCGGAATCCTCGATCACGAAGATCGTGAAATCGATTCGATGGCACGGAGAGTATTCCCACGTCTGCGAATAGTCCTTCGACTGTATTACACTCTCGATAAAGATACACACGCTCTGTCTTTCTCTCCCTCCCACTCACTCTGTCTCGTTTCCTTAATGTTACAGTAAATTACATTGTTCCTATTTACAGCGTGATATACATATACAGATCGTTTCTCTATAAAAGTCGTTTCGCGGTGCGTTTCTGGTTGTGGACGCGATACAAAACCGCCGGTAACTTCGTTGAGATCGACCGATTTTCTGTTTCTTTGGGGGCTATGGGACCAACCACGATAAACCCTGACCCTCGACGACGCGTGGAGTCGAAATATCGGCAGCTGGAACGAACGTTCGAAGTTTAGATTTTTTTTTCATTTCATTTCTGGTACATCGATCGTCCTACGAAGCTAGATGTTAGAGACTCGATATTAATTCGACGGGAGATCGATCGGTCGATTCGTGTCGTTCGATCGTGTCGTGTTTTCGTTCGTGTGTCGTACTGCGACCTTTCGATCCTTGGATCGCTGCCGTTGGTTCCCGTGACTCTCTATCGAAAGGAAGTTGAGCGATAGGGTTGATTAATATTCTGAGCATTTTTTCTTTGGGACACTGATGGATGCACGGGCGACTCGAAATATTATTTTGAAAGACAGGAATATATGAATCTTGTTGATTGGTCGTCAATAATAAAACGAGTACGTTACCAATGTATAGTTTGGTCTTACTTGACAAACTAAGCCATACTTTTGAATACTAAAATCAAATAATAAAAATGTTAGGTGGTACTGTATCCTGTATTCTGTAAATGTATTTTTTTCTGCTCGAAAAATCTCAAATATTTGTATCACTTTATTCGTGAAGAATGATTCAAGTCTGAATAGCCTTACTAAAACTGTCTTTTATGAATTTCTTGTTTAAGACTAAACAAATTCTAAAATTTTCGAACAACTTAATACTTATGGAACAAATCAACCTTTCTTTACTATTTTTTTCTATAATAATATAGAGTTTGTAATTATGTTCTATTTGTTTTAATTCTTTGAGCCACCCGAATTTTCCCATCAGTCCTCTCAGTGAGAAAAACACACTACAAATTCGTATTATAAAAATTATTATCGAAGACTCTTCGCTATCGACGTTTTCTGTTACCACGAAGAAATGAAGTTTCGACCGTGGGTAACGTCGATAACGTAGTTTGGAAAGATCGTGAAATCATGGAAAATCTTGTATCTAACAAAGAACTCGTAGTTTGTTTCCCCGTAGGCAGTAACCTTTCTGGCAGTAACATTTTCACAAACAGTCTTCTGAATCTGTCGACGGTAAATCATGATTCTCAATTAAAAAGGAAGCATAATACACTTGTTTATTGCTGTATGCAGTTTGTGCGGATATGTATACTCCCGAAAGACAAATAAATAGACGTGTTTGCTTTTAATCGCTAGAATGTGCGTGACATACATTATTGTACGCATGTAGGATATCAATCTACCTTCTGGGCAGACATCTATTGTTATCTCTATTACGGTTGAACAAGCAGAATATGAATTCATTTTTCAAATATTCGTATGCCGTTACTAGTGTAATTAATTTCAACTAAAATATTCACCTGATTTCAGAATTCGGTGTCTGACTTAAAAAAAAAACAGAAATAGAAATAATTCTATTAAGTACAGACTTTTATAAAGTTACTTGTCCAGTCACAAAAATTCTCTAATTTCATTTCCATATATGAGCAGCATCACGTTGACACATTAGAATTTAGTTCTAATTTAAATAAATTTTTAAATACTTAAGTATCATAAAAAAAGACTAACAAAGTCGATGACAATTCATATACTTTCCTAAAATTCCTCGTCGATCGAATTTTCCATACGGACGTCAGAATGGCAGTGACGATCGTATTTCATCTTCAAGTTTTCAACGACGTTTCGGGTGCTCACTTCCGGTACCGGACGCAAGGCGAACGCTCCCCCGCATAAAATATTCTCTACACTTCATCCACGGTCAACATAGTTATATCCTCTAACTCACAATCCAGCGTTACGCGAACTACACTACCGATCAAAACTATGGGACCAGAAGTTCATCAACTAATTATTCTGTTACGATATAATAGGTGAACTTGTCGAAGGACTATTTCCTCACCGATTTCGATGAGTGTCGGATATGTTCTAGGAATCAACATTCTGAACAATTTTTTCATTTTCCCAAAATGTCGGTTGGCCCTAGTTTCCGAGATATTCCTAAAAAAACTGTCGGCACCACTATTTTCTTGTTTTGGATGCGTTGTTGACACTGGGTGATGTGTGGTGGGATTTTCGGTGCGTGGTTAACACTAGTGACTTGGCTAAGACGTTTGTTCATGGCATTCCGTATCTCCTTATTGCCAGCACAAACACACGGACAAATCTTTTTTTTGATAACTTTTTAACAAACAGCGAACGGCGGCTAGAACCTTCATATATCAAGGTCAAGATCATCAAAGGTGAGTGCCCTAAACAAAGTTTTACCTTCATTCTAATGGTACCGATAGTTCTTTGCGAATAACTCAGAAACTGAGGCTGATCGACATTTTCGTCGAAGGAAGAAAGTTATTCAGAATGTTGACTTCTAGAATATATTAAAAAATCATCGAAATCGGTGAGGAAGTGGTTCATCGACAAGTTGACCATATAAAAAAATTACGGAATCAGTATACATGTACAAATCATTTCCAATCAAATTTAGCATATTACTTTTATCAAATCTTTGTGGAAGAATATCTTCCTATTTCTTCAATTATCAGACCTGATCCCATATTTTTGGTCGGTGAAGTGTACGTCTCTCCAGTAAAAACAGTATCTCCCAATAACAAACAGTATCGTCAACAACTATAAGAATTTTCAATATCCATCCCCCCGTTTCGGTTAACCGAGGGATCGCGTTCCCAACCCTGTTTTCCGCGTGATCATTCGAGTGTCGAATCGGAACACCACGAATTTCCCAGCACCGAAACCATGGGCGTAGCCAGAGGGGCATTTGCCTTTGCAGTGGTCTTTTCCGTACCCTGGAGGAGAAAAAAATTCAATTCTGTCCCCCTCCACCCCCACCAGAGGAGAAAAATAATACTATGAAATTTATCTTAAGCTAAATTTTGCCCCCCCCCCTTCACCCCTGATTGATAACCTGGCAACGCCCATGACCGAAATCGTATTTACAACGACCACCATAGGCGTCCGCCCCGTTCACTTCCAGCGACGACCACAGTCACGCGTGGAACAATCTTTTCCTTATACGAGAAACAAGTCCTATTTATCCAATCTTCAACGCTCTACATTCCCAATCTAAATGCACAACCTCTTCGGACGCGATCTTGATTTCAGTGAATTCGTCGTTTCCGGTATCGAAACGTTCAGCCACAAACAGTTCCATCGTGATGTAGAGATGATGTGAGACAATATTCGCTAGATCTACGCGATTGGTGAACTGAAAGTTTCTCCCTGTGAGACAGTTCTTTAGGTTCGGAGACAAACTATAAAGAAAACAACAGCCATACACCACCACGTGCTCGTTTCCGGTACCAGACGCGAGGACGAACGACCGATTCTTCAAGGCGCGACTTCCGCTCACGACGAAGCAACGATTTTGTTCGAAAAAGGGTGTTATCGTGGCTCGAGTGGCAGTTCGCAGCGGCTCCGTGGGCGCGCTGGTGATCCACGTTGGAAAAGTCGGCGTGTCAACGATTAGAAGCAGTACTTCCGCGTGCTCACTTCCGGTACCGGGCTCAAGGACGGAGGTTGTCCCTCGCGCGGGACAACCCGTTCCTCCTGTCAGCCGTAGTAGTAGCTTTTGGTGGTCAGGCTCCGTGGATTCTCCGGGCGTAGGATCGTGTGCAGACTGTCGGTGCCGACCATGTGGTTACCCAGATCCACCCGGACGCCTGTGTTGGTAGCGTGGTGGCCAGACGGGGGATGGATCGAGGTGGGCGACAATGGTATCCTTGTGTCCGCGTAATAACGGTCGCCGTGGAGCCTTTCGGCCAATTGAGTCTCTGGGATCCTGCGGAACGGTCGGAACAAGATCAATCGGATGTTAATGTAATATTAATTTATAATACGTGGGAAGAATGTAAGGTTAAGGTTGTGATGTCGAATTTAGATGATAATAACGATTATTATTATTATTATTAAGCCTTTCAAAATGTGAGACGATATACGATCAATTCAAGCTATCTTCCCGGAGATTTCAGTGAGCGAAAATGATGTAGAATGTTGGTAAATCATTACGAATATAACGATTAAATTTATCAACAGGTACAATATTTGAGAGAATTTACGATTCTTCGTTGTGTATAACTATTTCTGAAGTGATAGTCACCAGTACAATATAGAGCGAGATGTAAAAAGAATAGTCCATTGGATTAACAATTGAAATGAAACTAAAAGCAGAGAAAATCATTAAAATTTGGTTGCTTCTTAAATAACGTGTTCCCTCTCTTTAACTTAATGTCGATTCAAGATATTTTACAATTAATATCAATCTGAGACACGTTTCTGACAAATGTGTGAGATAGTAAATTATTTAAAATGTAAATTAAATATTAAATGATACAATACATATATAAGTAAATTAATGAGAAATAAAGAAATTAAGGAATTTATCAAAAAAAAAAACGAAGTAGTTCAGTTTAATTACCGAGAGACTGAATTATACCCTGTTGTGTTTGTAAATTCAGTAATATGAGTTATGTAAATACAAATTAGGTTTTGTATTACTTTACAAACTGTAACTAGAAGTTAAGTAACATTCGTAGAGTTTATGATTACGGAAGGACTACGAAAATATCCGAGAAAGTTATTAAGTGAAGTACGTACCTCGTGTCTTGCATGGGGACTGGCACGGGCGTCGTGAGGTCGATATCAGCGTCGATCTCCGAAATGTCATCGGTGAATCCGTTCGGAAGTGCCTCGTTATTTGCATGGAATTTTGCGTCCCTCTTGGCACGATGACGGCTGACTAGAAGACGTCCAATCACCAACCCCAAAAAGATCAGAATACCGGCCGTGACCGATACAATGATGTAGAGGTAGAATTTTTCTTGGTTCTCTGTACCAACGAGAAGCAACAAACGAAAATTCAATTACACATCGCGGGAGGGTCCGCATGTGCGATCTACCGACTACGAATCAAGTGAAAACTTCAACAATTTGAAATTCACGAGAGTATCAAAAATTCCATGCAAAACTACTAGAAACGTCTGCCACTGGAGAAAATGCAATGCCAAAACACAGTGCTCAACTCGCTCGACTGCAAACCACGGAAATTAATCACGCTTCGAGCAATCGGATGCACCCTACTATGTATAACTCGAGGCTTCTACATAAAAAATATAAACATAGCATGGTTTTTAAACATTCTGTTTTACTGTAACCCATTCCCTCACGTGATTATGGTCTGTTCCACGAAAGAAGAGCCCTGGGTGGTAGCCCCCCCCCCCCCCCCCCGCCACTTGTGCCGCTCTCACTCTTCGCGTCTTGGCCAATCACGTTCGACCGTCAACGTGCGTCCTCGTCTACGGTCGTCTGTCTCCATCGCACGTATTACAAACTTCTCGAGAAGGACCTACTTACAATCTCAAGTAGTGGGGACTGCGTTTGGCACGCGCCCGTCAATCATCCATTGTCTGGAAATAGTGGAGAATGTTGACGAGACGCTGAACGTTTTCACACGTCAACAATTAAAATACATGAATAAGAAAAAGTTTATTTTTTTTTGAAAGAATGTATTGTATCCAAATATTGAGCAACATATTAAAAGGGGATGAAGTTAATCCGTAGGTTTTTAAACGTTACACGTGGAAATCGCAGGGTAAAGAAGGAAGTTTATTTACCGAGCGTCTGAACGAGAGTCTCTCGTGATTCTTATACCAAAGGATGGAAAGAGACACATAGTGGCATTGAGACCGTGACAACGTCGCACGAAATACGCAGCTCGCGTTGGATCCCTACCAGGCCACGCGAAAAGGAAGGGAAACCTCCCAGGGCTCTTCTTTCGTGGAACAGACCATAGTAAATGTATTTCCTAAATCGTTATCTCCAGTATTTCACGTTTATCTACAAATATGATACTTTATTTTCGATGATCGATAAACAAGCAATGTTAACGGTAATAGTTGTAGGAAATCTCTAATTAATCGATCGTGAACAACTTATCGGTCATGAATAATATCCCGACGATGGAACTGACCTACTGTTAATAAGGACGAAATCTGTTTGTACCGACTGTAAGAATGTTCGTCGGTAAAAGAAGATCATGACCGGCAGATAATGTCCACGAGGTGTCGACTTACCGACTGATCGAAGGGCAGGTTGTGAGATGGAATCGGCGTAGTACTTACTCGATATGAATGAATATGCATTGATCCATTCATTGATATATCCAACAACGACACGATCCTCTTCGGGAAAGGCGTAGACTACCGTCGTACAATTAATCGGCGACATCGTACTGGTGGAAAGGTCTCTAGTAATATCGGCCACGTTGTTCCCGAACATTACCATCCCTTGAATAACCGTGGGCGTTAGGGGCAAGTCTTTCGCTCCTACACCGAGCGATTTATAGTTGTTCGATTGCGTGTCCACTGTTTAGACGCGAGAAACAGGTGAATTGAGGGAATTGGTGAAGATGTGAAAATTGCAATTTCGACGTAGCGATTGGGAATGATGTTTTATGTGATATTAGTCTGTAAAAAATATTTATTTATCGCAAGCTCATAGATAATTGGCGAATCTGTTTTAATAAATATCTTTAATGGTTTGGTGAGCTCTAACAATATAGTTAATATAAAATTTTATTATAAATGAACCTGAAATTTTGTTCGACGAGGCGTTCTGTTCGAGAAGATCATGTTTAAATTTATCGAACATACACACATGATTTGTCATCGTTTGACCATTATTATAAGGTGAACATTTTTGAATATAATTAACAATATTGGAGATGCAAGTTCAGTTGTTCTCCATAAATTATCAATGTTCACACGAAGAAAACAAATCATTGGCAATAACTGTTTGTAAACACGAAGGAGTACGATGTTTGTTTAATACCGAACTTGCGTGAAATCGTGAGAAATTCTTATAAAACACTGGTACGGCGATGAATTGTTTAAACTCGGAAAAGAAGCATTCTTCGAAACACATGTAACTACATGGCCATTCGCTACTCTCAAGGTGAATAGACTTAGCTCTCAACATTGGATAACTTATTATTGAAATTTTATTATTACCAATGTACTTGAGCAAAATACGTCAAAATGTGAATAACATTTTCTTGCGATAAATAAATATTTTCCGTTTGAAACTTGTAATAAAACCAAACGGCTGCTACAGTCATAACAGTATCAACTGAACTCTCAAGACCACTGACTACCTATGACCATTATACGTTTGAGCAGCCATTATAACTTAACTTAAACATTATTAACCTTAACTAGGCGAACTGGGTCATTTATGCCCAAGGCTAATTCCTTCACTGTATTAGATTTTGAAAAAATCTGTAAAATTCTGGGGTAATAATCAAAGTCTCTGTTACATTATATAATTGTTCATTAAGTCAAATGTTTAATACATTTGAAAATAAAATATAAAAATTCGGAGTATAGTTCAAGAAAAATGTGAATTCGCTTCACATTATCTACAGAGTGTTAACACAGTTTCCCATTAAAAAAGTTATCCTGAGCGTCCAGTCGATCTGTCCATAAAACACGTAAAATATGCAAACTTGTGAAACTAGTCTAATTGATGGAAACATCATCCCATGACTACTGTCTTGCGAGAGCACGTAAGAGTGACTTGTAGTGGGTGTGAGAACGCAATGCGCAGACAGGTGCCGACAATCCACATTGATCACCTCCCGTCCTGTTATTTACAACAAGCGAGGATCGAGCTGATTACTTGAAGGGACGGCAGAGGCGAACTAGAGAAACTCAACCGTCACGAGAACAGACAGTTTATTCTCGCAAGTGTCCGACCACTCCATACGTATGGTACATTTTACATGTTTAGTAATGTCAGAGTCGGAATAAACAATTATAATTTGTCCGAGTATAAACCTCGATTAAGACTTTCGCGACCTTATTGTATACCAATACCGCACGTATTCGATGTTATTTCATTCGAGCAAATAACAGTTGATAGCCGGATTTTTAGAACATGTGAATGTTGACAAATTATTATTGAAAATATCTTGATGTAATAAAGTAATGGTATAACTGGGAATTTAACATAATATCGTAAATGAAATAAAAGTGACTTATTTACGATAATCAGAAGAATATAATCAGGTTCAGTTTTAGAAAATACAATAGAACCTCGATTATTGGAACACTGTTTATTCGACTGGTGCTTAATCCAACGTTTCATTATCCGAATCTCTATGCATGACAGAAACACGTTTCAAATGAAATTTTGTTAACACTGCATAGATATGTAAATATTGTACAATAAATGATTGATTTTTTGTTTTCACTAGGTTTGTTATTTATCGAATGGAATACTACGTTATTAGTCGCGAAAGTCCTATTTTAAAATTCACTGTACACACTAAATTTTTAAAGTTCACTGAATTCTGAGCTCTTCTAAAATGCACTAGCTAGTAATTTATGTACTTTATAGAAATAAATGCTTCTATTCCGTGTTATGCTACGTGGTTAATTGGATTTTATACCCTCTAAATAATATTTATCGGCACGTTTCCGTAGGACGTATGAAAATCATTCCTTTTATCTTCAAAAAATCTGACGGACATATATTACACTGCTAAAAACAATTAGGGGATCGCCATAGAGTGGACAACTCTTTGATATAATGAAGCTAAAGAAACGAAAAAAAAAAGGTTCTATAGATTCGACAATTTAAAAGTATTTCCGTGTGATCCTAACATCTAAGTTTGGTTTTACAAAAAATTATTCAACAATTCTACGTTACATTGGCGATTGTAGCGGCTGCAACATATGATCCTTTAATTATTTCGAGCAGTGTATTCCTAACTTCAAAAATTGATTAAATTTGTAAAGTCTATTATAAGTATGGGGTGGACGAATACTTTTCTAAGTAACTGTTCTTCGATGACATCGCGTTAGTGACACACCAACTGACACGTATTTACTATTTACAAATCGCTGTTAAACGCGATTCGCAACGACGAAGCTCGTCATCGAATCGTATGAAACGGAAACGCAAGAATCCTGGTCTTTTGGGTTAATTTATTTTACAGATAGCGTTGGGCGACGGTGAATAAATCGCAGCTGCGTTATTTACAACAGTATATATTGGGAATGATATTCAATCCTCCACCAATTTGCAATCGTGTCGTTATTATACAGTGGCGATTAATGATAGGTACAGGGTTGCGTGAGTGATAAAGTAGGTACATACCCGAAAAGAATCTGATACGAGAGGAAATATCGAGACAGGATCCACGATCAGTTTCGACTATTAAGTGGAGTGCTGTTTGGGAAAAGGATGCTCTGCGTTCCGTGACCAGTTGGAAACGAAATGGAAATGTGCTTCGTAATTTAAGTACTCCATTAAAGTTTAATTGAAATGCATTATCCAATATTGATTTAATTTACAGATTGTACGCGTGGGAAAATTATACAACTCCGTGAGTTATTTAATTGTGGTTATTGCGAGAGGAAATTAAAGTAATGTCGGGAACAAATTCACGAGAACTTATTACTATCGTTATTATTATTAACGTGTAAACCACATTTGATGCAATTAAGAATGAGTCCATTTGTTAATAAAAATAATGCAATACTACTTTTACGTGTGATCATAAATCATAATAACTGTGTTAGTCATAGAGTTCAATTTTGTCGATTAATAAAGAAAACGAAATTAGAATTATGTCCTGTTTTCTATACTCGCCATGTCAGGTCCAAACAGCGTTATTACAAGAATAGATTACTCAAGTGTATAATTTTCAAGGTGAAAGCAGGGGTTCACAACTTTTAAGATAGATGATACTCGCCAAATGATGAAAAAAAGTCTTAATAAACACAGGTCGAAAAATTAATATTTTCAAGGATAAACAATATTTTGTTTCTATTAAAGCGAGTGACTTTCTCGATTCGGTAGCTGTCGTACCGTATGGAAACAATGGATTACCTTATCATTTCTTCTTTTCTTAGTTACAGAAGGTACTTTACAGTTTGTATTAGTTCTTTACAATTTTGTTTATAATCGAAAAAAATTGTTTATAATTTTGAAAATATTAATTCTTAGACTCATCTTTATTAGGACTTGTTTTCATCATTTGACGAGTACTATCTAACCTAAAAGTTATGAAATCTTTTTTTTCGTTACCTAGTATAACAAATGCATTTTACATTGTGATCCATGTGATCTTCATGAACTTTCTGCCTCTTCAACTTATCAATCCTCTTATTAGATATCAATCTGGTAGTTTAAGCATCCGAGGCTACTTGTCTAAAGCGAACTATAATTGTACTATTTGATTACTACCTATATCCTTTGACACCATAAAAAATGGAAGGATCTTTCCTAAAATAATGGGAAACGGGAGCGAAGCGTGGCAAAGTCCATCAATAACTGACGATACGTCATTTCAAACCGTGTCTTCACGGATCGATGGATCCGCAAAGGAGATACTGATACTCTGTACTTTGGACAGGTTTTCAGAGCTCAGACAGCCGGCGCACGGATATTTTTCAGAGAAGAGAAGTGCCGCCCCTGTTGAATGCCAATGGGAATGGAAATTCGAAGTTCGTATATTATAGATCGAAGGGGCGCACGGAGCTTCGTCACCTATGCCAGCGGAATACGCGAACATCGTGTCGTAATCGGTATGCATTGTGCTCCTGTTACGTCGAACCTGTACGAAAATATCTACCGATGTTACAATTTTCTTGCGTATGTAAAGAATTTTTGATGGAATATTTTCTTACGTGTGCAAAATTTGTCAATTTCGTTGAAGTGTAAAAAGAAGAATTGCTTCGTAGCATGTTCTGCAAGTGATAGAAATTTTACGTTTAAACTGCTGATTTAAGATTTTATACTAAACATGAATATGGAAAATTGAACAGAATAAAATTTAATAATGACAGTGACGTGTATTAAAGAATTGAAAAGAAAGCATTTGTGCATTTTAAAAAGGAATATGACTATGCAATTTATACAGGGTGTTCACGCTATTACTAGCGTTTCTTTTGCAAATAGTAAATATTAGAAAAAAATGAAAGAGGAAAAAGTAGTACTGTTATTTGCAAGGTATGTAATGGCGTATATCATTTTTTTGTGTTTGCACTATTTTTTTAGAAATGAGGGTGACCTTCGATTTTTTAAAAGGAAGGCTATATATTTTTTATATCATATGAAAGGGTGTGTCAAGATGAATTCATTCGTATATAACACAATAAGAAATTGTAATAGCGCGAACACCCTGTATATTATTTAGAATACATCATATCTTTTATAAAGAAAGTAAGGTATTTAATCCTGATTTTATTAAATTATTACAGTTCACGGATTTGTGAAGTTATGTAAATATCCGCAGTTTAGTGGTAATAAATACTTCTGTATACAGACTGCAGATCCATAAATTGTATGTTTTTAGCGG